AAAAGGGTCTGTTTCTCCAAGAATTGTAGGAGCTGAATGTAGGTAAAGCATTAAAAATGAAAAAAGAAAAAAATCACAAATATAGAAGACATTGAATATATATATATATATATATATATATATAAAATCTAGAAACGCTTTCTGACTCTACAGCTCGAACTCACACATCCCTTGTTGAGTAGCTCTCTGGGCCTCAGTTTACTTGGTTGACTTAATCAAGGGTAAGTCTTGGGTCTTGGTCAGGCATGGGACCTTATTTCTCTGAACATGATCTCATGAGAAAAATTTCAGCACAGCATGCTACATTTTCAGAATATTAAAGGCTGAGAAGTTCTGCATTTGTAAAAATGTGGCCTTCATTTAAACTTGTTGCTGTTAAGTGATGTTGAGTTAGTTTGGGGCTTAGTGACCCTGTAACAGGGTTTCTGAAGAGCAGCTGGTGGGTTTGAACTGCGGACCTCTTGGTTCGAAGTCCAGTGCTGAACCTACAGTTCCACAGCAGAAGTCCTTATTTAAGCCTAGCATTTTTTTTTTAATAGCTCTATTTCTACCACATGAAACTGCTCCTCTGTAGAGAATTCTTTGGGAAGCTCTATTTTGCTTATTCTTAATTCATTTATAGCATACTGAAAGTAAAGATTTGGGTCATATAACAGACTGGAAGTAAAGATTTTCATCAAAGTAAATGTCACAAAACAAAGCCAATTCATCCCTTCCAAATAAATAACCTAATGTTACCCAACTTCTTCAAATCTTTCCTAATGATTTCTCACCTTTTGTTCAGAGAGGGAGGGCTTATAGATTTTAATATTTTAAAAGTCTCTAAACTGATATACCAAAGTCTGGGAAACTTATTCTTAAATTTAAAAAAATGAAAGAAAAGAAAACAATATAGCAAGGCTTCAAATAGTACTTACGCATTAGAATTGGTGAAGTCAGTAGTTAGTTAAACATTCACATGTTAATGAGTGGGAAGACATTAAACCATAAAAAAAAACAAAAACAAAAACAATGTTAACCAACTTAAAAAGCAAGCACATGGTGCAAAACCTTGAGAAAAAAAAAAAAAAAACAAGGAAAAAAAAAAAAAATCAAAGGATAGTTCAAGAACCACCACAGCACTACAACACACACTTTCTTTTTCTCGCTAGAATTTTGGCCTAAAATTTTTTCCGTGTATATTTTCAATTTTACTTACTTTAAAAAAAAAAAATCATCCTAATCATCCTTCAGGATTAATTAATGTCAACTGGGTCCTAAAAGCAGCCTTCAAATTTCCTGGCACAATTTATGCCTCGTTTTCAGCTTATGCCCAAGGGCCAGTCTTTATTTTCTATTTACAAAGATTTGTGGCAAACTAAACCTTTTAGATCCCTACCCAACACTGGTGGAGGAAAATGTGATTTACATAAAATAATGTGATTTCCTGGGTTTATAAATTCTGTATTCCTAGAAAAGGAAAACACATCCAGTTCAATGTTATTTAGTTGACAGCAACTTCAGAAATGAACTGGCCTGTAACTCAATGGGGTTTTGGCAGATGAGGAAACAGGCATGGAGGGTCCACCTGTGATATCAGGAAAAGAGTTGCAACCCGGGCCAGCTTGGGCCCACTCCAGGGTAGGTGCAGGCTGAAAGCAGTAATGCAGCCCTGGGAGGCCAAGTAGATATGTTGTTGTTAAGTGTTGCTTAGT